AGAGAGAGAGAGAGAGAGAGAGGTTATGTATCTTCTACCACACGGTCATCATTATTCTCTTTATTATTAGTTCTAGTTCCTCTCTGTGGTTTATTCACTAAAGCAACTGCACCATGGAAGTGTGTGCACACAGGGAAACGTGGAGTGTAGACAGGGTCAGTGTTCTGATGTATTTGGTCTCCACAAGGGTCTCTTCCCATGGAGAAGGGGTCTACTGTGCTGAGACAAGGACCCAGGTCCACACGGACAGTCTCACGACTATGGAATGAAGATCTGTGTAAAACACAAGCACCTGGAGCCACAGATGATCATCTGGGAAGAAACACTAGGAGTCTGAGTGGAAGCACCAGGCTGTGAAGACACGATCCTGAGTGACGAGGCAAAGTCTCTGTTTACAGGTGAGATCCTGAGCATCAGCTTGGCAGTGTGAGCTGCACACTGCAGGTGAACACAGGAGTCTGATCTCTGTGGGAGTCTGTGTGGTGCTTGCAGGCCAGCACCTCTGCTTTAAAGAGAAGCATCTGTGCGCTGCATAGCAACTGGCTTGTTGATGTTATTGTGTTCCTGGAAGTGACTTTTCTTCTAGAAGATCCAGTGTTTGACTACTGGAGAGAAGAAGGAAGAGGAAGGTGGGGAGAGGGTGAAGTGAGTCTGGCATTCAGGTTTCTCCTGGTTTTTGTTTTGTTTTGAGACAAGGTCTGTCTCCACAGCTCTGTCTGTCCTTGATCTCACAGAAACCCACCTGCCTTTGCATCCCTAGTCCTGGGATTAGAGGCTGTGTCTTTAGTTACTTTTCTATGGCTGTGAAAAGACACTGTGATCCCAGCAACTTATAAAAGGACTTGTTGATTTGGGTTTAAGTTTTCAGAGGGTTTGAGTCCATGAGGGCAGAGGAAGGTGTGGTGGCAGGAACAGCTGAGAGCTCACGTAGTGATCCACAGGTAAGTGTCAGAGATACTGGGAACAGTGGGAGTCACTAAAACCTCCATGCCTGGCCCCAGTGACACACCTCCTCCAACATGGCCACACCTCCTGATCTTTCCCAAACAGTTCCATCAGCTGGAGCTGAAGTATCCAAACCTCTGAGCCTGTGTGGCCATTCTCATTTAAACTCCCACAGTATTCAGTGTGGGATGTCAGATGCCCTGCAGGGTTCTGCAGATGTGTCCACTATGATCTGTAGACAAAGACCCTAAAAACAAAGACCCCACTGCACTAGGGTTTCCCCCTTTGCTTCTGTCTCCTCCTGCTCAGTCCTCTGCCTTCTACCTCAGGCCTCACCCCAGCAGTGCCCAGCACCCTCACTCCAGAGCTCTGCACTAACACTGTCTCTTCCTTTGCATCTAGTTTCTCTCCGTGGTCAGCCATCTTATCAGCCATCTTGCTGAGAGCCAGGCTGTGTGGTTTCATTCTGTAAAAGCTGCAATAGGGGCTGGAGAGGTGGCTCAAGGTAAGGAGCACCGGTTGCTTTCCCATAGGATCCAGGTTCAGTTCCCAGCACCCACGTGGTCCTTCACAACCATCAATGACTCAAGTTCCAGGGGATCCAGTGCCTGGTGCACCTGCATACTCATAAGCTTAAAGTATACAATCTAATAAACACAAAATTAAAATTTTAAAAATGCTCTAGCATGTCCCTCTCC